GTCTAGCCCTCTCTTAAAGCCATCCATGTTGGTGTTCACCACAACGTCCCTTAATTTAACTAGGTGTAGCACTAAGAAGTACTTCCTTTTATCTGTCCTGCCGTTTGGTCACACCAACCCTCCATCTCTCCAGAGAGTTTCTGTGGCCAATGTTATCCGAAAGCTGCCATGCCTGAGAGATCCAGGAGAATTGTCTGGGACTAATTCCTTTTGGCTTAGGTCATCCATCAAGGTGACTAGGCAGTCTCAGTGAGGAGGAAAGGCCTGAATCCAGATGGAAATGGATCTAGAAACTCAGTCCATCACTGGCCTTGTTTGCAGGTGGTGCCTCTGGTTCGGGGGGGTCGGACTGGGGGAGTTGCTTCTCGTCTTGATTGAGACGCAGTTGGGGAAACTATGGATTTAGCCCTTCACTCCTGCGGGTACAAATGCAGTAAATATTGCCTAGAACTTTAAATACAACGCAATGCTGTAGAAACGTTTCACCATGTAACGGGATATGTGACCATGATTACCAGCTGAAGGCATGGCTCTCTTTTCTTTGATGGCTGCTTGCTAATGAGCCCTCCTGTCCAGGGGGTGTCCTGATAATTATCTGAAGGGGCTCATGAAGGCAACCCCTGGACTGCACCCACATGAAAGTGGCAGATAGACAGTGGAAGGGACCCTGAATTAAGGCAGGGAAGATGTTCCAGTGTGAGAGACTACAAGAGGAGAGCAAAGCTCCCAGGCTTAGATCAGGGGTCAGCAAACTCTTTCAGCAGAGGGCCGGTCCACTGACCCTCAGACCTTGTGGGGGCCAGACTATATTTTGAAGAAATGAACAAATTCCTATCCCCCCAAAATAACCCAGAGATGCATTTGAAATAAAAGCACACATTCTACTCATGTAAGAACACGCTGATTCCCGGACTGTCTGCGAGCCAGATTGAGAAGGCGACTGGGCCAGATCCAGCCCCCGGGGCTTAGTTTGCCTACCCATGGCTTAGAAGGCTGGATTAAAAGGCTGATTTTGGACAGAGAGAAAGTTCTGCATGTGTGAGTGTTTTTTGTATTCTGGTTACCCTGTTTCTGGTTTTCTTCTCCCTTTATTTTTATGCTTCTGTTGTTATGAGACTCTGTATTGTATTACACATTAATACTATTATTATTATTATTTAGTTGTATGACTGTTCTGATTTTCACATTGCCAAGATATTGTGTCATATACTGACATTTGCAAGCTGTGCTACCATAATGACTAAGGCCTTAAATGACAATTTTAGGATATACTTTGGTGATTAAGATTTAACTTAATATTTTTAACTGCTGCTATATCTGTATTGTCCCTGTCATACCCAATTGCAAATTCAAATGTATCCCTATCATGTTTTATGGCTTCCCTGATATTGTATGTGAGCTGGAACTGGTCTGTGACCGAAATAATAACTTTATTTAATTTATTTAATTTACTGTCATTTGTGTTCATCATTGTTAACTTCCCTGTGGTCTTTTGATGAAAGGCGGTATATAAATTTAACAAATAATAATATTAATAATAATTTCTTCAATAGCCACTGGTGACATCTGAGCTAGGGCACACCCCACATGCTCACAGTGAAACACTTGGGGGTCACAGTACAGTCATCAGATGAAAACCAAGTCATGGAGCTAGCTGGGAGTGAGGTGGAGAGAAGGGGGAATTCAAATGCAAGATTATTTTCTGGTTGCTGTTTTTGACTGAAGTGGGAGAACTGATGCTCTTCTGCAGCCAAGCAATGGTTCTTAGCTGTCTCTGCTTGCTGAACAAACTGTCTACTTGCAAGCAAACAGCATCAGCACACCAGGTATCCCTGGAATGATCTCCTCATAATGTTTTGGACTCTGTATCACAGGCTTCACTAACCTTGTGCTCTCCAGATGTTCTGGACTAAAATTCCCCAGAAGGCATGACCGTATTTGCTGGGGCTGGAGGGCACCAGGTTGGGGATGGGACTTTGACAGATGCCTGTGGGATACTCACAGAAATGGGAAACAAGGCTGATGAAACAACGATGATGAATTGCGATTTAAGAAGCATTGAGTTGAGTGACCTTCCATCAGGCTGGGAATCTGCAGAGGCCTTCAAGCTCCAAGGAAGCTGTGAGGCCCTGTTGGAGCACGAATAGTAGCCAGACAAATGATGGGAGTGGGACAATAGCCCACCCCTCACCCTGCCCAGGTGGTTGCTCAGCTCACTACACATCCATCGAACCGATGAAGCGCTGCGTGTCACAACAGCAACCCAAGCGGCAGGCCGCGTAAGGTTCACTGCCTGGCACAGGCTGGCGGGCCTTGCAGAGAGACTGGCAATGGCCGTGATGTATCGCTAGGGTTAGCGTCACACAGAGAATCAGGAAACACACGAAGCCGCAGATGGGACCACCAAAGGAGAGACAGACAAAAACAAAAAGCCTGCCCAGTATTGGCACTTAAATCTCTTCCTGTCTCCATTCTGAAAATCCACAGCTCCAAGGGCAATGGACCCATCTTTATTTTTTTGCAACAAAGCCATATTTGCACCTCCAGGCCTGCCTAAAGGTAAAGGTAAAGGGACCCCTGATCGTGGACGAATCTGGGGTTGCAGCGCTCATCTCGCTTTACTGGCCGAGAGAGCCAGCATTTGTCTGCAGACAGTTTTTCTGGGTCATGTGGCCAGCATGACTAACCACTTCTGGCAAACCAGAGCAGCGCACAGAAATGGCATTTAGCTTCCCGCCGGAGCGATACCTATTTATCTACTTGCACTTTGATGTGCTTTCAAACTGCTAGGTTGGCAGGAGCAGGGACTGAGCAACGGGAGCTCACTCCATCACGGGGATTCGAACTGCCGACCTTCTGATCAGCAAGCCCTGGGCTCTGGGTTTGAGCCACAGCGCCACCCGCGTCCCCTTCCAGGCCTGCCTACTAGTGTTTAAATCTACAACAAGGAGCAAAAGCTTTGGGTGCTTGACTAAGTGCACAATGATGGGGAGGCACAGCTAGGAAGGAAGCCGCCTGCCTTGACTGTGAAAGACAAGCCCATAACTTGCAACCTGTTTGGTCTCTCCATGACTGGATGAATCTGCAAGATTTCCGGAGAAGACACCAGCAAACCTTTGCAGCCTGCAGCTCCAGATGAACCGGGTCTCAGAGGATGCTGGCAATGGCTTGCTGGTGATTTGACAGCTGTGGTCATTCCATGTTCCTAAGGCAAGTTCTGGAGCTCCGGAGTGAGCCAAAGGAACTGTGATGCCCACAGACACTCCCAGCCTCCTTTCCAGACTGCTGCGGCTAAGAAGTTCCCCCTTCCATAAGGGTGCTTTGTTTTAAAGAAGTGTTTCTTAGCAGGCTCCTTGAGGCCACCTTCTGCTGCTCACTTGTTGTTGTTCTGCAGACCCTTCTCTATTCCTGTGGCCACTCTGTTGCTGCCAGCTAAGCAAATCACTGCTTACCAGGAACAGCCGTAGGTGAATCAGCCTTTGGTATGCCACAGGTCTGTGACATTTTCAGTGTGGCCCTCACTGTGTGGGCCACATGCTGCCTGCCCCCCGCATTTCTCCAATCAGTTCCTCCACCCTTGGCACAGCCCACCCTCCCTGGTTCTCAAAACCTGGCAAAGGCAGCCTGTCGGAACCCAAACACGGAGGAGGAGGTTTGCCCTCTCTGGCGCCATCATATTGCAGAGCCTCATGACCCAGCGTCGCACCAAACCCAAGCCGGAACCAGCCTCGCTCTTCTTGGCAGTCATCATGCACCATGCCATCCGCAGACGGGCACCAGTGTACCGCATCCCGAGATGACCCCAAAAGTGACATTCCTTGCAGCGGGCACCTCAATGCCCACATTGGCCACCCACCCAGCCGGCCAGTTGTGGTGCAAAGTTTAATAGCACTGCTATGTGGTCTGTCCTCCTGTGTGGAAGCTTAATGGGCTTCCATTAGCCCTGTTGGCCCTCCAGCCCACTGGGGAATGGGCTCTCTGTGTGACCAAGGCAGAGGCCCCTGCAGTAAGGCTGGCACCCCTGGTTGGCCTCGGGGCATCGCTGCCCAACAGGAGCCAAGAATTGGGCTCAGCGCCTTCATCCGGCCAGGCCCGAGCGGAGAGCTGTCCGGAGCCGGTGGTGCTGAAACCGGCCGAGGGAAGGCTGCCGGGCTCGGGCACTGTCGGGGGGGGGGCGGCGGCGGGGGGGGGCGCCACCCAAGGAGGCCAGCGCCTTGTCCTTCTTGCTCCAGCTTCCCCGAGGCCCGCCAGGAGAGGGTCGCAGCCCCCTGGAGACATCGCAAGGCGCAGGTTGGGCTCCATGCAGCGTGCGTGCTGGAGAGCGCCCAGGGGTCATTTCTCCCCGGCTCCAAAGGCGGACACCAACGAAGGACTCAGCGGAGCGGGGGAGCTGGGGTGAGGGGCTGGGGCGGACCTCGAGGGCCCCGCTGCCGTTGGAGAGGATGCGGCGTCGGAGGGGAGAGCGCGCAGGGCTACCTGCACAGCCCGCCGGACTGAGGTCGGACAGCCGGAGCGGCGGGCGCACCAGCCCCGGAAACTGCCTTCTACAGACTCAGACCTTTAGTCTATCCAGTTTAGTGGTGCCTACACTGATTGGCAGCTCTCCAGGCTTTCTCGTCGGAGTTTCTCCCAGCCCACCTCGAAGATCTCGTCGCGGGTTGAACCTGGAAGAACCTTCCGCGTGCAAAGCCACGGAGCTGCGACTCTTCCCCGTGAGGGAAGCGGGCGCTGCCAGGCGGCAGTCTCTGCTGGACGGCGCTTGCGTTTCCGGATCTCCCGGGGTGAGAGCGTGCCCGCCATCCTACCTCACCCCCGGAGCTCAACACCCCCTCCCTCGGCACTCCCCGCACCTCACCTCCTCAAACTCGCAAGCAAAGGATCCCGGCGGGATCAGAGGAATGCGGAGGGGCGGGCAGTCCGGCCTTCCTAGCCCACCCCCAGCTCCTGCCGAAGCTCAGCCCCGGGTGGCCCGAGGAGTCCCCGCGGGGCGAGGCACCTACCTGGGGGTCGCGGGGAGGGGGTCCTTCCGCGGGTCCAGCCGGCGCCACGGCCCTCCGGAGTCACGTCTCTCCTCCTCCTCCATCACCACCCCCTCTGCATCAAGAAAGCGCCCCATGGCAAGCTCCTTCCACTTGGCGGGGTCGGGCGGAGGGGAGGCTCCAACGTCTCTCCCCCCCCCCCGCCTATGCAAAGTCTTGCAGCTCGCACCGGCCGCCTTTCCTGGGCGCCCCTCGTAGAAGATGGAGCCCCCCAGAAGCGGAGGGGAGGCAGGCAGGCGGCGGCGCGGCTCCTCCATCCAGTCTGCCGCTGACCTGCATTGACGTCATTGCGTCATTAGGTTTCCCCTGGAAACACGGAGGAGCTAAAAATAGCAAGCCGCCGCCGCCGCTTCGGTCCGGGAGAGCGGCGCCGGCCGCGCGAGGAGCCCGTCCGGCCCGCGGGCCACGGCAGGAGCCCAGCAGCAGCGGTAAAGGGCCCCGGGGCCCGCGGGGCTGGAGAGAGGCTGGCCGTCGAAAGGCGCCCCCTCCCTCCTTTGCTCGCGCCCTAGGGGCCGGGTGGGAAGGGCCCTGGGCCTCCCCAGGTCTCTAGACTGGGGGTGGGGGTGGCATGCGCGCCCTACTGCCTGGACCCAGGGAACTCCGACGCCAGCCCAACTCCAGCCCTTCTCCCTAGAGGACGGGACCCCACCAAAGCGCTCTTCCTCCCGACGGCGCAGGAGGGCTGGGTCTCCCCACAAGCGAGACGAAGCTGCCGCCCGCCTCCTGGCGCCCAGCCCAGAGGCCTTTGCCTCCTTCCCGGCCGCTGCCGCGCCGTCGGGGATTTGCCCGGGTTAAGCGCCCAGCGCCCAGCCTTTGGACGAGCGCCTCGCGAAGGAGATCCGCGCTCCCCCCTTTCATCTCCTGCTCGCTCCCTTGACACACTGACCGGGCATCTGTCTATATGGGGCGGGAAGGGGGTTTCTTGCCTGCCTCGGAGCCCTCCCCCTCCCCACTCAGGTGTTTGCTGAGCAAAAAAAAAAGAAAGAAAAATGACGAATAAGAAGTGCAGCGGCGCTAAAAATAGACGGGGCGAGCTTGGTTTAGCAGCCCGTCGGGGGAGGGCGAGGTCCCGTGAAGCCAGGAGGCGCTGCCGGGCTTTCCGAGCTGCAAGAGAGGGTACCCACGCCAAGGTGGGCTTGTTCCTGGTGTCTCTTGGATGGGGGGGGCGAGCAGCAGAGTTCGCTGGGCTCAACATACTGCGGGTGGCCTGGACCCTCTGCTGCACCGGCGGAAGAAGCAAACGAGCGTGAAATTTGCATACAGTTTGTGCCATACGCAAGTTTTTGCCCTTTTTTTGCTGGTGGGGGTTGTTTTTGTTGAGTCGTTTAGTCGTGTCTGACTCTTCGTGACCCCCTGGATCAGAGCACGCCAGGCCCTCCTGTCTTCCACTGCCTCCCTCATGCTGGTAGCTTCGAGAACACTGTCCAACCATCTCGTCCTCTGTCGTCCCCTTCTCCTTGTGCCCTCCATCTTTCCCAACATCAGGGTCTTTTCCAGGGAGTCTTCTCTTCTCATGAGGTGGCCAAAGTCTTGGAGCCTCAGTTTCAGGATCTGTCCTTCCAGTGAGCACTCAGGGCTGATTTCCTTCAGAATGGAGAGGTTTGATCTTCTTGCAGTCCATGGGACTCTCAAGAGTCTCCTCCAGCACCATAATTCAAAAGCATCAATTCTTCGGTGATCAGCCTTCTTTATGGTCCAGCTCTCACTTCCATACTTCACTACTGGTGGGGGTAGAGGGCCCCAAAATTAACTGTGCGTCACTCATAAATGAGAAGGTGCCTGGCAGCCAGGTTGTCAACAGAAAAGGCTCTCCCTGCAGAATTTCTGTCTGCCACACAGCGTGGCGGCCATTCTCTCCTCCATCACCAAGCAAACCAGGCAAAGAATTATAGAATTGTAGAGCTGGTATTTCAGATATTGAAAGGAAGGAGGAGCAAGCGAGGTTTCTGCTCCTCTAGAGGGCAGGACCCGAACCAATGGATTCAAACGATAGGAAAGGAGATTGCGACTAAACATCAGGAATAACTTTCTGAGGGTAAGAGCTGCTTGACAGTGGGCCAGACTCCCTGTTGGTGGTGGGCTCACCATTGCTGGACGTTTCTAGCCAGAGGTTGGACGGCCACCTGTTAGGGGCACTTTAGCTGTGATTTCTGCATTGCAGGGGGTCAGTCTGGATGACCCTTGGGGTCCCTTCCAACCCTACAGTTCCATGATTAGTTTCCTCACATGAAACTCCAGTTCACTGAAGTGCAGTGCATGCTTTACAGCTGCCTGCAATGCACATGCCTCATCTTAACCACAGTTTCTGTTTCCTTATCAGATGGTTTGAGGGAAAAGGCACCAGCAAACAGGAGTCTTTCTCCCGAAGCTGCAGGGATACCTCAAATGCCAGGTGTGGAATTGTGGTGAACCTCAAATGCCAGGTGTGGAAGCACACAGGAGCTGGAAGAAGCAGAAATGTGTACACAGCCCTCAGTTGTGGTGCTTTTACACTCTGTGAGCACAACAGCAGCCCCAAAGCCGGGACATTCTGTGTGTTTCCGGGGTCCTTGTAGACACGACAGCTTGTCTTGGTAGTTTAAACTAGTTTCTTAGTTTCAGACACTTTTAAACTAGCGTATTGTTAATGCGTTTCTTATGAAAGTATGTGTTTCAATTTAGCTTAACAGCTTTTTAATGAATGTGCCCCTTTTGACGCAGTGAAATTGCTGGGGATTTTCCGTTATTGTCTTTGCCAATCATTAGGGGGTCAAATGCTGGAGTTTGTTCAGGCAGGCAAAAGTTCCTAAAAGGGATGCCAGGGTTTCAGGAGAGGGCAGGAGACTTTCATGCAAGCTGCACACTTTGCAAGACATGTTAATTGGCTGCTTCAAGACTGATGTATTATCTCACCTGGCTGTCTTATGTGGGGAGGGCTCCCTTAGGAGCAAGGAGTCTGTTCACCTTGAAGTCTCCCTCTCCCCTCCCTCCCAGTGGCATAGCTAGCTGCTCGGGTGCCCGGTGCAACGTGTGTGCCCTGCAGCCAGGGCCGGGACGAGCACGCCACATGGAGCCTCTCCGCAGCCTCCCCCTCAGCTATAGGGCAGGTGAGGCGGTGGGCCGACGCAAGCCCCACACTGCTCAAAAAAGCAGCACAGAGCTTGCAGGCAGTCCACCCTCAGGAGAGACGTGTGGCTCAGGCACGCTGCAGGCCCCACAGTGTGGTACCCAGTGCCCCCCGCCTCAGCTACTGGTGTAGGAAGGGGGGTGCGGTGGGTGCGGGAATTATTATTATTTTTTAAGTGTTGTGAGCCCAATTTTAATTTAAAAAACCACAGACATATTTTTGCCATTTTTTCACCCCCCTCAGTGATGACACCTGGGGCGACCCGCACCCCCCTTCCTATGCCACTGCTCCCTCCCCCTCCCTTTATACCTTTTCCAGGAAAAACTGACAGCCCCAACCACACCTGACCCCCCCCCCAAGTCTTTTGCTTTCTTCCTAGAGCTTTGTCCTCAGATTTTCTGCATTCATAGTTGCACCTGGCAGTGCCATTCATTCAGGGCCTAAGAGCTCCTTCCTTCCCGGACTGTAGAGGCAGAGCCCAGCCATCGTGGTTCATAGCCACCCATAGACTTATCCAGGCATTAGTTTAATCCTCCTTTTTTTATATATATATAAAAAATTTATTGGTATTTTCCAACTTAATACATTAAAAAATCAAAAAAGAAAAAACAAAAAAGTGAAAAACCTAATCCTCTTTTTAAGCCATCCAGGTCGGTGGTCATCACTGCCTCCTGTAGGAGTGAGTTCCATAGGTTAACCATGCGCTGAATGAACGAGTCGTTTCTTTTATCTGTCCTGATCTTCCAAACAAGGAAGATTCCCCACAGGTTGAGCTGATCCTCTCCTTTCCACGTTGTTGTTGCTGTTTAGTCGTGTCCGCCTCTTCGTGACCCCATGGACCAGAGCACCCCAGGCAATCCTGTCTTCCACTGCCTCCCGCAGTTTTGTCAAAATCATGCTGGTAGCCTCGAGAACACTGTCCCACCATCTCGTCCTCTGTCGTCCCCTTCTCCTTGCGCCCTCCATCTTCCCCAACATCAGGGTCTTTTCCAGGGAGTCTTCTCTTCTCATGAGGTGGCCAAAGTCTTGGAGCCTCAGCTTCAGGATCTGTCCTTCCAGTGAGCACTCAGGGATGATTTCCTGAAGAATGGATACGTTTGATCTTCTTGCAATCCATGGGACTCTCAAGAGTCTCATCCAGCACCATAATTCAAAAGCATCCATTCTTCGGCCATCAGCCTTCTTGATGGTCCCGCTCTCACTTCCATACGTCACTACTGGGAAAACAATCGCTTTAACTATACGGACCTTTGTTGGCAAGGTGATGTCTCTGCTTTTTAAAAACACAATGTTTAAAACAGATATCGTCCAGTCCTAACAGGGATCTGTTTGACCATTGTGAGGACTGGATGTTGGCCATTGCCCTAATCTGCTCTTTTTCTGCTCTTAGGTTTAGCCTAGCCTTCTCCAATGTGGTGCCCTCCAGGTGTTTGGGGCTACAACTCCAGTCAGCCCTAGCACCATATGGCTGTGGTGGCCAGACAAAACTTTTGGAGGGCACCGGGCTGGGGAAGGATGCTCCAGGCCCCCCTTTAATTTTACTGCCATTTCCTGCTCCTTTCCCAGTTCTACAATGTTCTTTTTGAGACTCAACAGATGTGCATTTGGATAAGGGCACCACAGTATAACTGGCAGGCATGTTTTCAAGCAGTTCCTTATGATTAAGCAACACTGAGTTGCATTTAGCTCACTTGGTAGAGCGTGAGACTCTCTAAATCTCAAGGTTGCAGGTTTGAGACCCACATTGGGCAAAAGATTCCTGCAATGCAGGAGTTTGGACTAGGGACTCTCATGTTCCCTTCAAACTCTACAATTCTATGATTCTATGAGAGCCAGTGTGGTCAGACTAGGATCTGAGAGACCAGGGTTCCATTTGTTGGTTGGATACTTTATAGGCAGGATAGAATACAGTGGTGCCTTGCAAGACAAAATTAATTCGTTCCGCGAGTTTTGTCGTCTTGCGATTTTTTCGTCTTGCGAAGCACGGTGTCGGGAAAGTTTTGGAAAAGCTTCAAAAATCACCAAAGTCTTCAAAAACCTCAAAAAAGGCTACCACACCGCGTGCTATGAGTTGCTCCTCGAAGTCAAGTCGCAACTGTATTAACGGTGTTAAGAAAAAGAAAACAAACTTGCAAGACGTTTCCGTCTTGCGAAGCAAGCCCATAGGGAAAATCGTCTTGCGAAGCAGCTCAAAAAACCAAAAACCCT